TTTATCTTACAGTGAGTTTTGTTTTTTTTTAATCTTACAGTGAGAAGCCTAGCATTTTTTTCTGACAGGTTAATATTTGTTACCCCCAGCCTGTGTGGCTGTCAGACTCGTTTATTCTTCCTTCTGCTTGTTTTCCCCACTTACAAAATGATTCAGATAATGAGATAATGATAATTATCCCATAATACAGAATAAGCAACATTTATGTGTTGCCATATAGCACAGCAAGCACTTTGATATATTTCATTCCCTGTAAATTTCATGCAACCCTGTGTGGTGGGACATGATTGCTACAGCCATGTTTATAGAGGAGAGCATTGGAGCTCAGAGCCCCATATGGCTGCCTGCCTTAGGCCAGCAGCCAGCTGGTGACAGTGCAAGACCTCTATTACAAATCCCATATTTTCCCCAGTAAATCTTCTGGTTTGAATCCATTGACTGAATTACATTTTATTGGAAGAGAATGGAACTTTTTAAAAAAATTACAATATATGATGCTTAATTTAATGGATTTAATGAACAATTGACTATTATAGTGATGCAGTATGTTTTTCTTAAGAGGTCTATCTATCCAAAGAACACGTTTATTTGGAAAACTTTTGAAAATGCTTACCTAATCTGTTGATTAAATGAATGTAACATGTTGTCTCTAGTCGAAGAACTTTTCTAACTTTATTTAAATGGTTTCATGTAAAGGTAGAAAAGTTATCCAGAAGCACATGCTATATTATAATTATAAGCTTTTTGGGATGCTATTGTTTTTTTGAGACAGAGTCTCTTTCTGTCGCCCAGGCTGAAGTACAGTGGCACAATCATGGCTCACGGCAGCCTTGACCTCCCTGGGCTAACGCGATTCTCCTACCTCAGCCTCCCGAGTAGCTGGGACTACAGGCTGGCTAATTTTTGCCATTTTTTTTTTTTTTTTTTTGTAGAGACAGGGTTTCTCCATGTTGCCCAGACTGGTCTTGAACTTCTGGGCTCAAACAATCTGCCTGCCTCAGCCTCCCACAGTGCTGGGATTTGGATGCTATTTTGAAGTTGAGCTTTAAAAATGTCATTTGCAAGTGTTTGTTGCTGATACATAAAATTGCAGTTGACCTTGGTCTAGTAACTTGTATCCTGTGATCTTGCTAAATTCACTCACTGCTCTTACTAGTTGTTATTTTCACTAGTTTGTAGCTTTGTAGATTCCTTAGAATTTTTCCATATGGACTGTATTGTCATGAGCAAATAGAGACCATTTTATTCTTCTTTGTTTGTGATCTTTGTACCACTTATTTAGCTAATTAGTTTGCTTACTGCAATGTATATGCTACTGTAAGAGGCTTGAGTTAATGCTGAGGTAGACTTGAGTTAATGCTGCTGAGTGTTTGCACAGTGAGAGGACTCTATAGCCTCACTTAGAAGTTCTAGATACAATGTTGGAGAATTTTATTATTAGAAAATTGCTTAAATTAACAATCTGTATTGGAGTTTCAAACAGTTATTAGAATTTTAAGTAATTTTATTGGAATTTAAACAAATTTTAAGCAAAATTATTGGAATTTTCAACAATTTTCAAATATATTTTGATAAACGTCAGTGTCTATTTTGAGATTGTGCTTTGTGCTGTACTGAGATGCACTGTCAGGAATTTTGTAAGGTATTTGTTGGCAATTTTGACAGGTGTTCAAAAGTTAGTTTTACATTATTTTATTATTTATTATTATTTTTGTTATTTGGAGGGTGAGACTAACCATGGCTTGTGAAAACCCACATTCTTGGCGGAAAGGATGGCTAGTTTTGTGGCCGAAGTTTTCAGGAAAGCACGTTAAGCAAAGTGAGAGAAAATGAGGAATGAAATTGAGATAGAAAATCAAGTATCTAAAATTCAAACGTATCCTTGACTGTTCATTGTAGCAGTATGTCTTTAACTAAATAATATTATGTCCTTTGAAATGTGGCGTGGAGGGGTAGAAGGAGAAGGAGCTTCAAAGCTTCAGGCTAACTCTAGCACGTCCGTGCTGTGTGCTCTTGGGCAAGTAACTTATCCTTAGTTTTTTTTATTTTTATTTTTTGATACTGTAAAGTAGAATACTAAGCAGCTTGCAGTGGTTGGCATTAGAAATTGTATACATTTCCCTAGGCTGCACATGGTGGCCCACACCTGTCTCCCAACACTTTAGCAGGCTGAAGTAGGTGGATTCTTGAGCCCAGGAGTTTGAGACCAGCCTAAGCAACATGGCAAAACCCTCTCTGTACAAGAGATACAAAAATTATCTGGGTATGGTGGTGTGTGCCTATAGTCCCAGCTACTTGGGAAGCTGAGGTGGGACAGTCTTGAGCCCAGGAGACTGAGGCTACAGTGAGCTGGGATCCAGCCTGCTATTATCCTCCAGATACCAGAGTGAGATGCCGAAGAAAAACAGAAAGAAAGAAAGAAGGAAGGAGGAAAGGAAGAAAGGGAGGGAGGGAGGGAAGGAAAGAGTACACATGAAGCATATCAGACATGCAATAACATGCATTATAAGATTTAAGCCTTTATTAGGTGCTTACTGTTGTTACAGATTTGAGCCTTTATTAGGTGCTTACTGTTGTTACAGATTGAGTATCCCTCATCTGAAATGCTTGGTAGTAGAAGTGTTTCAGATTTTTAATTTTTTTTGATCTTGGAATATTTGCATTATAGTTACTAGTTCAGCATCCCTAACCTGAAAATCTGAAATCTGAAATGCTCCAAAATCTGAAACTTTTTGAACATCGGCATGATGGTTTTAACAAAAATGCTGACTGAAGCATTTCAGACTTCTGGATTAGAGATGTTTGACCTGTATTTATGTATTACATTATTATAATGCATTCACGAATGCTATCGATATCATGTGTCACCAAAGGAAGGGAATAATACCTTTGCAGAACCCTTTCCTGCTAAAAGGACCTAAAACTTTGTGTTACTGGAGACTTGCATCAATGAATAAGGAAGGACTATGATGTTTATTACAGTGAACTTCTGCCAACTTTCCTCTGTCTTTCTCTTCCTTTGCCCTGTTGTCAGACAAGCGCGCTCATTTCTAGAGCCTCTGAGGCTCTCACCTCGCTGTGGACATAGGTGGCATTTGGGAAACGATGGCTCGGCTGTGCAGGAGCATTGGGAGCCGGGGCTGGGGCAAAGCCACCACTGTGGGTGTCGGTGGAGCTGCTGCAGGCTCACTAATGGTGACTGCACCCTCTGGCCCTTCGCCACGCCTGCCTGCCATGCTGACCTTCCTTCCCTCTCCCTCTTTCTCTGTCTGACTACCTGGCAAGGTGTACTTGGCTAATGTACTTTTTCTCTTTCTTCCAGAATTCTGAAGGTGGACTCTATGTGTGCATGAATACATTTTTGGCCTTTGGAAGGGAACACGTTGAAAGACATTTTCGAAAAACCGGACAGAGCGTGTACATGCACCTGAAAAGACACGTGCGAGAGGTGAGAGCCTCCGGCGCCGTCTCACTGGCTTTCCCACCTGGTATTTACCCTGCCCACATCACTTCTCATTCTGCTTGATGATGAGAAACAGAAGCAGCACAGTTTCCAGATCCAGAGATTCTCCCAGACCTTATCTTAACCAACTTTATTTTCCTTCCTCTAAACTTCTGATTGGTATATTTAAGAAGACATGGGTTGACTAACTGGAAAAAAAAAAAAAAAAAAAACTAGGTATAAAAATACAGAAAAATACGGAGACACTGATGGATCAAAAAATCAGAAATAAAAACATCTGAATGTTCTTGCTTCAGATTTGTTTCGTTTTGCTTTTTAGCACAAGAAATAGAGTTTCCTTAAAAATTCAAGTTCCTTTTGTCCCTTTCCCTCACCAGAAGTAACCACTGCTGTGAACTTTTTCTGTATCATGTATTCCATTATATTTTATTAACAAACGCCTATTCAAGAACAATCTATAGCATGATTTTATATGTTTTAGAGACGTAGATAAATGCATCATACTCTTAAATTCTTGAAGAGTTTTTCCCGTCAGCATCCAGAAGATTCATTTCTTTTGGAATCTGTACATGTTGAGATACATCTGAATGTATTTAATTCATTTTAATAGCTGTTTGGTTTTTCATCTTGTGCCTTGTAATTTATTCTCTTTTCCTCTTGATGTTTCTATTTGTTGCTACTGCAAAGAATGCATCAGTTAACACTTTTATATTCTTCTCCTAGGGGCGCATGTGCCAGATTTCTTCAGGAGGTAGGTCTGGAAGTGGTAGTGCAGGCTCGCGTTATGCTCATGTTACATTTTACTGGATAGTGCCAAGCCTGTCCAAAGTGATTGCACCTGTTTACACTCTGATCTGCAGAAATGATGATTTCTCGCTTTCCCACACCCTCACCAACCCTTGGTCAGAGTTCTGTTTTTGCCAGTATAATGAGTAGGAAGTGGCATCTAAATATTTGGCACGTTTCTTTGTACTTTCTGTTCTGTTTTTTTCTTTTTGGATTTGCCTATTTATATTTTTGGCCTATTTCTTTATGGATTTATCTTTTTCTTATAAGTGCAATGAGTTATTTTTACATTCGGGATACCAAACCTTTGTTACATACTAAATTTCCTTTGAGTCTGTGGCTTGTTGTTTTACTCTGTTTACGAATTATTTTGTAGAATAGAAGTTGTAAGTTTTGAAGTAGTTAGATTTTTTAAACTTTTTGTCTTATGAGTTGTGCTTTTGTATCTTGCCTAAGAAATTGTTTCCTACCTCAAGGTCTTAAAGACATTTTGTACCAGTCCGTTTTCATGTTGCTGATAAAGACATACTCCAGGCTGGGCAATTTACAAAAGAAAGAGGCTTAACAGACTTACATTTCCATGTGACTGGGGGGGAGTTGTCACAATCGTGGTGGAAGGCAGAAAGGAGAAAGTCAGATCTTAGGTGGATGGGCAGGCAAAGAGAGAGCTTGGACAGGGAAATTCTTGTTTTAAAACGGTTAGATCTCATGAGACTCATTCACTGTCACGAGAACAGCGCGGAAGCGACCTGCCCCATGTTTTAATCACCTCCCACGGGATCCTCCGTTGACACAGGGGACTGTGAGAGTTACAGTTCAAGATGAGATTTGAGTGGGGACACAGCCAGACCATATCACGTTTCTTATAGTAGTTAAAAATTTTTTTTATTTCTTTTAAGATGTGTGAATGTGACTATCTTTTACATTTTAGGTATTTAATCCATCTATAGGTTATTTTTTTATTTGTGTGAAGAACGGGGATCTATTTTTTTCATACTGATAACCAGTAGTTTCATTATTCATAGAGTGGTGTAACCTTCCCGGTGATTTATAGTATCATCCTTTATGCACGCACGAGCGCACACACACACACAACCATGCACGCGCGCGCACACACCCCCCACGCACGCGCGCGCACACACACCCCCACGCACGTGCACACACAGGCACACACACACACATCCCCACGCACGCGCGCACGCACGCACACACACCCCCACGCGCGCTCACACCCCCCCACGCACACGCGCGCACACACCCCCACGCACGTGGACACACACGCGCACACACACACCCACGCACGTGCGCACACCCACACATGCGCATACAACACGCGCGCACACACCCCCATGCACACGCATGCACGCGCACACACACACCCACGCGCACACACACCCCCACGCACCTGCACACAACACGTGCGCACACACACACGCACACACACCCCCACGCACGCACACACACACCCCCCACGCACGTGCACACATACACACCCACGCATGCGCACACAACATGCGCGCACACCCCCCCACGCACGCGCGCGCACACACCCCCACGCACGTGCACACACACACACCCGCGCGCGCGCACACACCCCCATGCACGTGCACACAACACGTGCGCAGACACGCACACACACACCCCCACGCACGTGCACACAACACACGTGCACACACACGCACACATGCACACACGCACATTTTGCTTGTTTTTTGAGACGTGGCCTCCTGCTGTCTCCCAGGCCGCAGTGCAGTGGCACCGCCATGGCTCATTGCAGCTGCAGCCTCCTGGGCTCAAGCGATCCTCCCACCTCGGCTCCCAAGTAGCTGGGGCCACAGACGTGTGTCACCACATCTGGCTGATTTCTGCGTTTTTTGTAGAGAGGGGTTTTGCCATTTTTCCAGGTAACCATGTTGCCTAGCCTTGAGCCCATGGGCCTAAGCAATCCACCAGCTTCCGAGAGTGCCAGGGTTACAGGTGGGAGCCACTGCACCTGGCTACCCTTTTTATATTTTAACTTGTTCACATTTGGGTCCCTTGTGGGTCTCTCAGTGTTCTATTGATCTAATTTGTGTGTCTCTGCATTGGTACGGCAAGCCTTGCTATCTGCTAGTGCAAGCAATTTTTCCATGCTTATTTATTTTTCTTTCTTTTTCTGATTCTATGGTTGAATCCATATTTATTTTTCCACAATTTTCCTGGGTATTTTTAGGCATTTATTTTTCTATATGGATTATGGAATTAGCTCATCTAGTTTAAAAAATCCTATTGAGACTGTGATGACCATCACATTGAATTTATAGATTAACCTATAATCCACATCCTTGTGTAAGCTCAATGAGGGCACAGACTTTGGTTTTATTCACTGCTGTGTCCTTAGCACTTAGCAGTGCTTATCATATAGTATGTGCTTTATAAATATTTATTAAGTATTTAACATAGACACCTCTTTATTCACATTTCCTTTTTGTCATTCAGTAATTTTTGTAATTTTCTATAAAGGAACTCACATATAAAATGTGTGTGTGTGTAAAGGGTGATACTGTAAATCACTGGGAAAGGTTGTACTACTATATGAATAGTGAAAAAATAGATATATTTTTACAATGACTGCTATCATCCTTTATTTTTTACACATTAACTGGTTGTTGATGGTATTTGGAGATATTGTTAATTAAGAGATGTTGATTTTATGTTTAGCAATGCTGTTCAATGTTTACGTTAGTTCTGATAGTTTGTACACTATTTTGGATCTCCTCAGTGATCAATGCTGATTTGCAGTTTCTCTAATTTCTCACCTTAGCCTTCATAATATAGTCTCTGTTTAAGTTCCTAACAAAGAAGAGATCTCAAAATTGGATGATGGGGCGGGCAGGAGGAAGAGACGGAAGAAAGTCAGATAAGGCACAAATGCAATGATTAGCTTCACAGTAATTTAATGTTGACTTGCTACTGAATGATTTACATTCACTGATTCTGTTAGGTTGCACGTCATAATTCTTGTGAAGTCTGTTTTGTATGACTAAATAGAAAGTGATGAAATTTAAGAAGATCAAAAAAAAAAAAAAAAAAAAAAAAAAAAAGAAACAGAGGCCCAGAGACTTAATAACTTGCACAGGGTCACAAAGTCAGCAGCGGAACTGTGGAATGCTGGTAAATGTGAACAGTCAGCCCTGGCTCTGGAATTTCAAGTTCAGTGTTGCACCCTCTGACTGCAACCTCCACTCATTTATTCCTGTTTTGATCATTTGTTGTGGGTTTGGAAGACCTTCAGGCCTGTGACTTGTTTAGCCTGCCTCTCACGGTTCAGTTCTTCCAGCGTCTGTGCCCGTCGCACCTGAGCTGACTCTGACCCCCTTGCCTCGCTCCCTAGCCGTCCTCCAGAACTCCGTCACGTCACCGTCCACTTCCATGCGCGGACTGCTGGAAACCCCACACCGTGGTGGGCTGGAGACCATGCCCACGTCCGGCCTTCCTCTTCCATCACGCCCTCTCTGCCCGGCAAGCCTTCTCGTCTGCATCCTGCCCCACTCCCGGGAGCGGCCATTCTCACCTTCGGATGCTTTCCTTAAGCCTTTTCTGTGCATCCCTCATCGTTCTCAGAAAAGTACCTTGATTTGTACTTTGCGGGAGAAAAGGGAATCCCTGGACAGGAGCTCCCTAACTTATTCCGCTGTCCTGGGAGCACCTGCATCTGGTTCCACTTTTGATTCCATCTCAGCCGAAAGCGAAGTTCTGTCTGTCCTCAGGGTCCTGTTTCCCCACCTCGGGAAACTTGCTCCTTCATTAACTCCACTTCCTCTGTCTCCAGCTTCTCCCTCTTCTGCCTAATTTTCTCTCACCTTAAAAAGAACACACCTGGCTGGGCTCAGTGGCTCACACCTGTAATCCCAGTGCTTTGGGAGGCCAAGGTGGGAGGCTGGCTTGAGGACAGGAGACCACCCTGGGCAACATAGTGAGACCCCTGTCTTGACAAAAAATAAAATAATTAGCCTGGAATGGTGGCCATGCCTTAGTCCCAGCTACTCGGGAGGCTGAGGCAGGAGGGTCACTTGAGCCCAGGAATTTCAGGTTACAGAGTGAGCTGTTATCAGGCCACTCTACACCTGGGCAACAGAGCAAGACTCTGTCTCCTTTTCTTTTTTCTTTGTTTTGAGATGGAATCTCACTCTGTTGCCCAGGCATGGAGTGCAGTGGCACGATCTTGGTTCACTGCAGCCTCTCTGCCTCCCAGGTTCAGGCAGTTCTCCTGCCTCAGCCTCCCGAGTAGCTGGTGTTACAGGCGCGTGCCACCACCGTTGGCTGATTTTTGCATTTTTAGTAGAGATGGGGTTTCATCATGTTGGTCAGGCTTATCTCGAACTCCTGACCTCATGATCTGCCCGCCTTGGCCTCCCAAAGTGCTGGGATTACAGGCATGAGCCACCCTGTCTGGCTGAGAGTCTGTCTCTTAAAAAAAAACCAAACAAACCACAAAACCATCTTTCTAATTTGTGTCCTTCTTCAGTCACTGGACTCTTTCATTTGAAGCTTCTTTAAAAGCTTTTCTGATCTTGTCTGCACTAATCTGCCACTAAGACTCCACACTGCAGTCTGAACTTGGCAACCCACCAACGCTGCCCACGTGGTCAGTGACCTCTTAGCTGTCGCGCTTGGCGGCTATGTTTTGGCTGCAACGTTACTTGACTTTTTGAGTGTTCGCATCTCTGAGCTTGTTTCCTTCGGACCTGTGCCTCTCCTGCCTTGGCACCATTCTCTCTTGGCTTTCCTCCTGTCCTTTCCCAGTTTCTTCCACCAGCATCTCTTCCTTTGTTCACCTCTTAGTTATCGCATTTCCTAGGATGCTGTTTGCCGATCCTGTCTTCTTCCTCAGAAAGATGCTTTTCTTCATCAGGGTTATCCATATGTTTGTTTCACCACTTTTTTCTAAGCGAATGGCATTTAAATTAATATCTCCTTGGAGGTGAAGACCTGATCATCTTATTCTGGTCTGGATTTTTCTGCTCCAGCATTTCATACGTACTTAAAGGTTAGTGTGCCCAGACTGAACACAGTGTTCTCTTGCTCACAGATTTCCTTCCTCTGAGTTCTAGAGAGCTGGATGTTCTTTGGTTCTGCTTCCCTCTGTGTCTTACCAGGGAGCTTGTTATTTGGCCTTCCCGAACAGCTCTGAGGTCCACCCTGTCTTCTCCATTCCCGCTGTTCCTGTCTGAGGTCTGTGTGCTCATTGTCCTTGAAAGGACTCGTGCTGTCGCTTCCTGACTGACCTTTCTTCCTTCAGATTTGCTGCCTTCACTCCCACCTGGTCTGCACACTGCTCCCAGAGCTGTCTTTCCAAATGTATGCATCTATGTCACACTGACACTTACATCTCTGATGCTTCTTCCTGTTCTACAGGATGAAGTCCAAACTCTTGTGCATGTGATTGTAAGGTGCTCATGATTTGGAGCCTGCAGCCTTTCTAACCCTCACTCTTAATCCACCAAGTTTGTGCTTCAGAAATAGCAAACCACTTCTCCTTTCTGGAGCACACTGTGATTTTGTGCTTTTGTATACACTGTTTTCTCTGTCTAGGATGTCTTCTATCCCCACTCCCCTTTTACCTGTTGTACTTCCTGTAGTCAGGATACCCATCCATCCCCCCACCCACCTATCCACCCACCCATCCATCCATCCGTCAGTCCACCCACCTTTCATCCATCCATCCATCCGTCAGTCCATCCACCTTTCATCCACCCATCTGTCTGTCTGTCCACCCACCTCCCACCCACCCACCCTCCCATCTATCCACTCACCCATCCACCCATCCATCCACCCACCCACCTATCCACCCACCTACCCACCCATCCATCCATCCATCCACCCACCCATCCACCCATCCATCCATCCATCCATCC